TCGAGTAAAATCTTTCTAATCAAGTGACTGAAGTAACAATTGGTGCTTATTCAAAGCTGCTGTTGCCGAAGAGAAGGTCTTGAATAGTACTAAACAGTGCAGTTAGTAAGAATAGCAGAGGACTCTATGTCCTTAAAGTCAGATCAACCACAAAAAAGCAGTATTTCCGGGTGCAGTGAATCTGACTCACACTGTTACCTGCGTTGTTGACTTGAAAACAACTTTTTAGTCTTATTCACTCAACGTCCAGTTAGAGAGGCAACTTTTCAAGCTCAGTCACAAATTACTTATGAGAAATATCGGAGTTGATCGCTCTATGGAGCCAACTCATTTGGTAGGCAACTAATTGGCGATATCTCCCCACATGCCATCTAAGTGATGTATACTTAGGAGTAATGCGAAAGAAAAGTTAACAAACATTTGTACACTAAAATTTTTGTTGATCAACTGCGTAGAGCTTGTTGGCAAAAAGTGTGTTGGCTCGATCAGAAAAACACGACACTAATTTTCTGGAGACCGATTTTGTGCAGTCTCCTCTTGCGTCAACATTTCTCTGGGCTGATAAGTTGTCACGAACTTGTTGTGGATCTTCACTGTGTCTAACGTCGTGGCGACATCAATATCTTTGAGTCAGCGATCATCTAAATCAAGAACCGGGACAACCTGTACAATAGCTATGTAATGAGTCGTCCCATAATATCTTTTTATATTAATTTTACTATTTCAGATCGGATTATTGCCAAAAAGCAGTAGTATGTTGGAGACTGTTCTAATAGTTCTAGCCAAGAGACATGATAATAAACCTGAGGATACTAGGCCAGATTCTAACACCATACTCGTCATAAACCAAAACTCAAGTTCTATGCTCGAAAGATTATGTTCTCAGTTTTATGAGATTGATAGGACATGCTGCTCTGGAAATTCTCGACAACAAGCACACAATCGGTACCGATGTCTGCATGGACGAAAGTTCCCTAAAATTGGCCGAAGCAGCGCGCGAGAAGCGTCCGAAACGACACAGTGTCGCCCTTCTCTAGGATACGCTCGGCCTCAAATTGTAAAGTCGATGCGTCACGTCTGAGAGGATGACGGTCCACATCCACCCTATAGTCCTGATTTTGCTCCATCGCAATGTCATCTCTTTCACGCCTCGGAGCAGCATCTGTGGTAGAACACAGCTTGAGGACAACAAGCAGCTCTGTCAAAAAATGAGTATCATATGAGGAATAGGCGCATTCATAGGGGTAGGTTATGCATTCAAGTAACTCGAAAAAAACCGACTGGGGTCGACGCTCTACTTTGCACTAAGGACTCCAGAGAGTCGCTAAAATACCGAAAGTTGAGGCCCGTGCTTGATACACATGGTGTATTCTCATACAGTTCACTGGAGACGATCTCGGTGACAACTGATTGTTGATGCCAGCTGAAATAAAAGGACGCTAATTTTCAAAATGACGTGCACTGCATGTCGAGTTCTGGTTACACTTGTCTTTATTTTCTACAATACGGATCTCAGCACGTTTCACCACATCTTTTAGCCCATTCGCTTCCTCGCGTCCTCCATCCGCAGATCTTCAAATTTCTCGTTTGTGGGTCTGACTAACGGTTGAGGATTGCTGTGATCTTTACGAATGTCGTTCGACTCAATTCTTTTGAAGTTGTGTGATAGCCGAGGCGAGCATTATGATTCAGAATGCAACGATTCAACTCCTCATTATCATGTCAGTTGTCGTCTTACGAGACTCAATGGGATGGAGGCCTCTCAAGACCGAGGCAAAGTTGAAGTACTACAATGTTCACGCTGAGCAGCATCGCTACACTGCAAAATCAGTCGCTACAATGATAACATGACACCTCATCGGTTACTTGTTATAAATCGTTGGCATATTCGCATAATTGTAATGTTCAAATAAGATAATATGAATTGTAGACATTTTTATTTGAAGAAATATATATATAGATATATATACATGTATATATATATATATACATGTATGCATATATATGTACATGTACATTTATATATATATATATATATATATATATATGTATATATATACACATATCTGCTTCTGTTCTCCCTCGAAGTACCTCTTTTCTAGAAAAGATATTTTCGGCTTCACATTGCAAATACAATCAGGCTCTGTCACGTCGAAGTCGCTGCAATCTCATCCTGCTCCAAGGCAACGCAAGACTGCATCTCGCCAAGTTGAAAAGAGGAAGTTGACCAAACTGGGCTGAGAATTGCTGGATCATTCGCCATACATCCGCGACATGGCCATCGAATATCACCTCTTCCGGTCGCTAAAGCACTTTCTGAGTACCAAGAAATTCGTACACATCAATAACTTGCGTCGATATTGATAACTTTCTTTGAATCCAAGGATGACGGGATTTATGAACGCAGTGTTGAAATGTTGCTGAGAGATGGCAGAAATTTGTTCAGGCTGATGGCGCATACTTTGAATTGTGTTGTCAAGCAGTCCTAACTACCTTTGGTCGATAAATTTGGTGTTTATTGCTCTAATGCCCAATTTCATGAGGAGATCTAATGAAGCGTGAAAGTCACAAGGAACTCGACGGCATTTCTTGTAATGAAGTCATTCCTGATCTGAATCCAAAAACTTTTCTTTGTCTCTGCCAAAGTTCTTTTTTCTGGACGGATTTTCTACGGTCGACAGTAGTATTAACTCAGTTGAGTGTTCTGCAACAGAATCAATCAAACTTCACTTCCCATCGCTTTGAGCAATTTCTGGTGGTAACTGAGATGTGACCTGAACCTCTGTTTGAGGACCTGTTTGTGAATCAGCACACGTTTTGAGTCAATCGACAAACAGCAAATAGTCTTCGATCGGGTCTTCTTTTATCTGTCAATCACATGAGGAGAGGATTCAATTAAGAACTTCAATTTACTTTCGTGGGAACATGCCCGACGACCGCATGAGATGTGCGCTAAAGAAACTCCCATGTCCATCAGCGATTTTCTGCGTTTTCGAAAAATGAGTTTTCATGGAAGAGTGAACTGCGATGTTATAACTCGCTCTTTTTTCTCATTTCAAATTTTCTTTTAGGGAATGATATTCGACAGGAGGCGCAGTGGTTAGAGATAATCTGCGTTCTATACCAGGTCAATGGTTCAGTCTCACGCTCCTGGTCCACTGAGCCTTCCATTTTTCCGGGACCGGTAAAATTGGCATTAGAATTTTTTGGGAGGATAGATACCACTGACTTGATACATCGGTACGCCACTACAAGTCATCGTAAAGGCCAGATATGCATCCAATCACCTAAAGTGACGCTAAAAATCAACGACGATGGCATGGCGCATCCCACAGGGACTGATCAGCTGAGGGCTTATCCTTTAATCTTCTATTAACATTTGATGATCATTTCGATCTGGCACTGAGTTTTTAAGAACGATTTTGTAGGACTTTTAGTTGCGGATAGCTTCATTTATTGTTGTAGAACGCGTTCAGTTCGATCTCATGAGCTGTATAAGTTGGTAAATAGACGTGGAAGTAAGAGACGAAGAATGGCCAGAAGCAGTGATAAGATTCCGTGTATTAAGCTCTCATTTGTTCGTCCTTGTATATCATTCCATTAACCAAAAAAATCTTTTCTTCAAGGAACAGGTGAGGAACTATACGTAAACTCTTCGTCTAATGACGGTTTTGCATGAAAAGAGCGAGACACAAGAAAGAACCGCTGAGTTTCACATGAAGATTCGAATGGGCTCTTGATGCATTTGCAAAAGACCTTGTCGTTGAAAATATCATACTTTATAGCTACACTGTCCTCATTGAAGTTGTAGATCTGACCTATTATCTCGGTAGTGCTCACGCAAAATCCGATCAATCCCCTTCTCTCCCATCACGAGATAATAGCTCTTTCATACTGTCCTGAGTGAAAAGCGGCAAGTGTTGCCCATGGCCATTGTTATCACGAAGACTCACTCCTACTTGGGGTTCCTTTTTCATCACCTTTCGTGAAATTCCCAAGGAGAATTCATATTGCTCTAGCGATTCGATATTCCTTAAAAACTTTAGTGCAAACAATCGATACATAATAAATAATGTGATAATCTTAATCACATTTGTGGTCCAAGAAATAATCGATGAATAATCAAAATTCCTATCTTCAATTTAAGTGAACACTTCCGAACACTCCACTACCGCGATGTATGAACTTCTACAAAATCTGTGTTGCCGTGTTAGCCCTCGCCGACCTTGTAGTGAGCGGCTAAAATCTCTTCCATCATTCCATCATGTTGGTTAGGTTTAATACTCAAGGTGAAAATATGGAAGTCAGTTGTCCTGAGATCCCCTTAGGCTATCGAATCCTACTGTTTGCATCTATCTAATAATATGACAAATACCGACAAGAAGTACCGCGAACAGCATTAACAACGACTTGCTACTTCTATGCTTCAATCCATGAAAAACTGTAGGCAGCTGATCACTATAAAATCAAGGCTGACTATTGCAGGAAATAGCTTGTTGATCAAATAGTCGAGTTAAATGAAAATCCGACTCAAATAAAATTTCAATTCCTTATAATTCCATTGCCTGCATTATTGCACGCCATCTCTTCCCTATGCGCTTTCCGTATCCATCGCGTGGAATAGTTTTGAGCATAAGCCGTGTTTTCGAACGTATGTTCCAGACTATTTTGAAATGTAGCCTGATAGAATGTTTTGAGCCTTTCATGAGATCGCCATAATTAGTTATTGAAAAATAACACCACGCTGGGTAATCTTTTCCTTAATACAGATTTTGACTTCTTCGGCGTCGCTTCCTAATAAACAGTAGGGGAAAAATAGCCGAGTGGTATGTGCTATTTATGAGGCTTGCGAGGAAGCCGAAACTTACGTCTAGCACTCAACGTGCCATACCAGACCTTTGAAATGTACAAGAAAATATTATCAGATTATGAGTTAATCATTTGATATCGACAAAACTGGAAGCGATGATACACTGGAGGCGCATGATATGCAAATCTTGAACCTCAGGCGGAAGTTGAATTCGCGTTCCATCCTTTTTTGGGACACGTGTTAACCACTGCACCACCGAGGTTTCCTGCATACTGCCATCATTGCACGATACACGGTATCGAAGCTGACAGCAACCAGCCGTGAACAGGTTTGCTCTGGAAATCACAAATCAGAATCAAACTCATTTATGCTGACAGGATAGGAAAAACAAAAAAAGGAAACATGAGTTAAATTCCTGCCCGAGGTTCAGGGTTTTGCATAATACTCAGTTTATGATATACACTCATAATAATATAACACCACTATAAAAGGGTCAAGGTGAAAAAAGGAATCCTTGAATGAATCTAACCATTTCAATACAACAGTCCTCCCAACCTTTGTTAGGCAACGGAGCCATGGGCTAATCGTTTGAATGATGTCTTGTGAAAATCAGTCAGCACACACTACATCTAAGCGGCTTGCGCAGCTCAGATCTCAGGAATTTATCTCATCTTCGTGATCCAGAAGAACTCACGTCGATAGCGAAGCACAGATGAAGCGGTCATACACTAAGAAGATCAGACGACAGATGAACGAAACGAATAGAGTGGCCGCGAGAATACACCCGTCCCCGACGACGATCACCTACACATTGAGCGGATGTGTTCGTTAGAAGAGTTAATCAGCTGTATTCGTAGCCGCCGATATTCTACAGATCGCAGTATGAAACTCGCGCCTGCCAGCGGCCATGCTCGAATGAAACCACCGTCATGGACGACAATTGTGACAAGACGAGACGAATGGAAGATGTGCTGGGTCCGCACAAATCGTGAAGACGGACCGTCCAAGTATTCAAGTAGAATGAATCATTGATGTAGAGTGATGTGCAAAACTTTCCCGTCAGGAGGGACTAGAACCCGCACCTCACTCTTTCCGGGAATACTGCTACTCAATCCGTTCCACTACTGACGCCCATTTTACACATCGCGCTTTCTTCGCTACAGCGTACCTACCTATCTGTCAGCCACCAGCCGTCAACGGCGTGGCCCGGGTAGTCGGTCTCGACATTGAACCTAGTCATGCTGACAGATATTGGGTATTAAAGATCAAATGATATTTTTCTTATTTAACCGCTTATAACGGTGGTATGATGTTCCAAATATACATCTCTAAACAACTCTACATCAATGGGTACATATTTGGAGCATCATACCACCGCCATAAGCGGTTAATAAAAAGAATATCATAGGAATGAATCAGTTCTGCGATACGTCTGTCCTTTAGGCAATAACTATTTTAATATGCGAAAATTTGGCCATGCTATTCTCTGTCCAGTTAAAAATTTCTTTTATTTTCACATTCGCGCAGACATGAGTTGTCGAGAAAACGGAGAATTTACATAATCTGTCGTTACTTGTATTGTGCGGATTTTGAAACTTTAGAAATAATTCGTTTTCTTGAAATTGATCCGTATTCGTGCATTCATCCTCTATGAAGATCTTCGAACACTGCTCACGTTGTTTCGGTCGCTGCCTATGGATCTCGTTTTCTTCGTGAATGTCATAAAACGCTGGACGAGACGATTCGCTTTGCAATCTTGGAGACAGCTGAGCGAAAGCTTCACTACATGGGCTTGCTTCAATGTTTAGGGAGAGGGCCAAATGTCGTTCCCTAATAATGAGCATCACTATCTACTGTGCTACTCCTCCTCCTCTTTCTTCTCTTCCTCTCCATACTGTGCTTTTACACTATGATTTGTGGGAAAAAACCCTTGCGTATGAGCTTCCTTATCTCTATATTGTTTTGCTGGCAAGCTACTAAGTGATCTAATTATCTATAAATATATTTATCTATCTATAATATATCTATAAATAGAATATACCAAAATATCTATAAAATTTTATCTATTAATAGAAATATCTATTTCGCATCGTCGTCAGCGATTACATTTTTTTGGTCTTCTGGCTTTCTTCGAATTCTCAATGCTTCAGCTGCATTGAAGACTTTCTGACTTTCTCCAACACCCTGAAAGTACTTCGTGGATGCCGTCCATGAATAGAAAAGAACAGGCTGATCTTCGAAATCGCTAAACCTTAAATAGAATCGTTTACATTGAAAGCCCGGTTAACTTTGTGGTGAAGACGGAAGTGAGAACGATAGTGCAGATCCAGAAATGACGTGTTTAATGGGTTTGTCTCAAGTACAAATGTACTTGTTCATCACGCCAATTAGCTGATTGATGACGCGGTTCCCTAGTGGAATCAGAACACTCAAAATTCTTGGCGATTATTAGAAAAAAAAGGGATCTCCGTAAAATGCTACAACGAATCACAAAAAAAAAAGGAAAAAAACGTTACACCGGAAAGAAAAGAGATCTATGCGGGAAAGATTCGGCACTACCACTAGGAGAATCTAGTAAGATAATGCCATCACATCTACGCTGCTTCTAGCTGTGGTCCCCAGAAACGATGAAGGATAAAGGATAAGGCATTAGGCGTTGATCGATCCCTAAAGGACGCGCCATGCATTCGTCTCCATTCGTAGCACCGTTTGAGGTGACTGAATGCATAGATAACCATTACAATGACTCCCACTGACCTAGCACTGTTGTGTCGAATGAGGGTCGCCTATCCTCCCAGACAAGTCTAATGCCAATATGTGTGATAATCCCAGAGGAATGGAAGGCTTGGTGAGCCTTGGGCGATATCGAACCATTGACCACTTGTGTGTCAGGGAGCACCTCTAACCACTGCGCCGTGCACGCGCTCGCCGCACTGTATCACACTATAAAGGACCAATTTCCCACCCGATCCGCTTCAACCCACACCCAGGCCCTTACGCTCTCCCCCTTCCGTCCCTATACGCGCCCCTGGGAAACGCGGTGGCGGGGTCGCGCCTGCGGATGAGTCACACCACTGCCCCGACTACTATCGATCAGGGCAGAGACACAGAGATTGTCGGGTCGTCTGCGCGCTGCCGACGTTCGTCATTCGGCTCGTTCGTCCTGCGGGTCGGTTGTTTCACTAGTCCTTGGTTCGGTCTCGATATCTGCCTACTACCGAGGCTGTGAGACGATCTAGCGGCCTCGTATTTCTTTCGGAAATGCTCTTTTAATTGATTTCTCTCAAGTTTACTTTACTTTCGTCCGCCCACGCGTTTCTCCTGATCGATTTTCCCCGTGGGGGACCGGTTTTGAGGCTGGGTGCTTTCTTGTGGTGTGTAATTCTGCGAAAGCGAATATTAATACGAATTAAGAGACAGGGAATCATCACTTCTGCTTTGGTTTCACATTGTATTACCTTAAAATTCCATAGATGAGAGCGATTTGATTTCTGTAAAAGGGAAAGAGCGGGCAAGCACGCCTGCTTTTTGGCAGTGAAGTTTTTTCAATTTGTTTTTTTTTTATTTCGGACGCAAACAACAACAAAAGTAGCAATAAATTTGCTCCTAAGGGACGACGTGTACCAGCTGAGGTACACGATTGTTTGAAAGTCTTGCTCGCTGAACAAAGCTTTTCTCTTAGACACTTGATAGTCATTCGAAAGCTTAAATTTCTGCGATCTCGACTATATGTTTGATTTTTGAAAGAGGCTTTTCTTATTACATTGTAGCAGAGAAAATAAATTTATGTTCCACACTCAGTTTGCTTTATCTGCTCAGTGAGGTTCTTCGCCATACTCGTGCTAGTCACTCGATAGCCCCCAATTCTCGAGGATCTCAGTATGTGATTGGTTTTTTGAAAGGTTATTGTAGAACGCTGGGAGAGCGAAAAGAAGTTTACGTTTCGCACTCAAAGTTTTCATCGTACAGAAAAGCTCTGTGTGCACGAAAGACATATGACCATGTAGAGAAAATCATGAAATATCAGAGTAACACAAAAATGCAAGGTTTTACTTTCTAAATGAAGAAAAAAACCCTAATTGAATAACGAAAATCGCGCGCCACTTTTCGAGTCATGCTGTACGACCAATCAACTGCCGCCCTTAAAGAATTTCCTCTATTTTCAATCTCTGTCTCGTCATTATCGCTTGTTTTCACAGCGGCAAAGTCGTTTCCAATCGGGAATTTCAGTATCATATAGTGCTTTTTCGAAGCAATGAATTAGGAGAAAATTGATCAAAAATTACGAAGGATTAAAAATAAGAAGAAGAACTGGCAATCAGAATAGATAGAGATCACTAAAATTATCAAAGATTTCAAGGGCGCAGACCGCTTTTACCTGTGGAATTTTGAGGTAATTGTTATCGATTGAGGCGAATATCGCTGGTCGATATGAATTGGCTCGCTTCCAGGTCGCCGAGACAAGCCAGTACTTTTATATGGTCTCTCATAGATTCGTTCTGTCTCTCTGTCTGTTGGAAATTTCGAACGATCTGATGAACACGGAACTTTTTGTGTACCAAATTTCGCGCTACTTAACATCAATTGATGAGGTCTTCTCTCGCAAACATCTGTTTTGTTTGGGATTTCTCTAGTTAGCATCTTGAAAACCGCTTTTCCATGAGTCTTTGCGGACAATGAGGTCATATTGATTTCTCATCTTTTCAGCGGTCGTTTTTCGCTGGCCCGCCGTCTTTTACTAAGATTTTAGTGGTCTTTCGAAGGTCTAAACTTTGGTCTTTCTAACTTTGTATTTGGTTTGTGAAGAGGCCTTTTTCAGTGCGCTGTAGCTTCGATAATCAAAATGATTCAAACTCAGAGTATGCGCTTTGTTTCCACAGCCAGAGTCTGTGGATGGCTTGTTATCAAACTATACTGATACTCCTTCGATAGCACAAACCTCGGCGATTCCAAAGCTATATTTGGTTTAGGAAAAAGTTTCTTAGTAGGAGCGAAAAGAAGCAGATGACCTTACGTAGAGTTTTCTTCGCACGTAAGAGTTATTCGGCGCAAAAACTTTATGAACGTTTGGAGGAAATCACGCAGTGTCAGAGTATTTTGGAAAAAACTCAAGGTTTTTCCCGAAGGGGGAAAATTTTCATCAAATGACGAAAATCACGCGTCGCGCTGGATCGGCCAACTGTCGCTCGCGAAGGGTTAGCCCCTACGTTATCTATCAATAAAAGCTTCTTTCATGATCTAGCTAATTACGCAAGATTGATA